AGCTGATCATTTGAGATTTATCTAGGTTCTGCTTCTATGTGCCACATCCTTTCAGGATGTTGTCAATCATGGTTTTCTACAACTTCCTGATCTTTGTAGCTCTTAGTAAGGTTATCGTTTTACTATCTCTTCTAAACCCTGTTGTGTCAAACATTTGCACTAACTCGTTAAGCAGGTTAATTGCTGCTTTCATCTGTCCTCTTTGCCTTCAATATGTCCTTTTTTGTGTCAAATTCTCCAACCCTTATTTCTTCATTATGTACGCTAGAAATTTCAATTGTCTCTTTCTGATTCTAAATATAAGGATTCTTTTTGTTTTCATTTTCCTTAAAACTTCCTTTTTACTCATATATTCATCCCATGGAATTCACAGCATCCTTCTGTAGAAGCATATTTTTGTTGCCTCTTCTTCATCTGTGAGGAGATTGTCTAGCATTCATTACCATATAGGATGACCAATATTACACAACAGTTCAGCCCACTTTGTTTTTAACAAAATTTTCTTGTTTCTTAATACTTAGCTTTTTAAAAGTATCTTTTGCTATTGCAATGTGCTTCTGTAAAAACACTAGCTAGATAGTTGGTTGTAACTCCTGTGTCGATCCTGGTCAATGGTAACCAATAATGTAACACCACTGTCAACCCTAGACAGCAGTAACCAAATATGTAACCCTGCTTATCAGTCCTCAAGTTCCTTTAGACCACTGTAGTTACCATCTGGCTGACTCTTCATTCATTAATGCATGACTTGTTTGTTGCTGGTATTGTGATGGTAGGCATGGTTCCACTCAGCTGGCATTTGTCTGCTTCACAACCCTTCACTCCTCTGCCACATTGTGTTTTTGATATCAGAGGGTGAGAAGATTGGTGATGAAGTGAACTGAAGTGAAAGCAGTTTGACAGAGCTACACAAAAAACAAGAATCCTTTTGGAATAAAGAATTAACTCTGGTTAAAAAATATAATGATTTCATTTATATATGATTTGTTGTTTACAGCGGTTTTCACTTTTCCCACTTACTGAGATAATCAAATGACACTGGGATCCTCCTTGGAGTCTGCAGCTTATGTTAGTAGTAACTTAAATTTCTACGTTCTGGTCTTCAAGACTGGCACAAGATCTTGGTCAGGAGGTCTCATTGAATGATGTGGATTCCAGTAGCATTAGTGTGAGGACTCTGTGTGTGCACACACGTCTCTCTCTCTCTCTCTCCATGTCAGCTGTCCAAAATCTTCACCTTATGTTGAGTTCTGCATTAGCTGACTAGGGTCTGCATTCAGTTCTCTTCTACTCTAAGCATCAATCTTTTCTATATTTCCATATAGAAAAATACATTTATTCAAGTGGTTTTTCAAATGTTGGGTTATCTAGCCCCCTTTTGAGAGCAGTCAGAGAAATCAAACCACTTCTTTACACTTCATTCACACTTCACCTTGCACCATAGCTCCATATAGGTGGTTTTAATCTCTCTCTTACTTCTCCCACTTTCTCAGAAGTTAACCTCAGCCCGTTCCTAGGTCTGGTGTGATGAAGCCAACTTCCAGATGGCACAGCGAAAACAAAAGGGATTTTCAATCATTAATCCTTCTTTATCAGCTTGCCCCATGATCAACCAGATCACTCAATAATTGGAAAAGGAAAGAAAAAATTATTTCCACTCTTCTTAAAATGAAAGTTTATCTTTTCACTGTCTATGCATTTTTCATGATCAACAGACCACACAGCCTTTTTGTCCATGGTCACTTCAAAATAGTAATTAATTTTTCCTTGTCACTTGTATCTGAAAGAATTCAAATTAATGTTTGGATATAAAATTTTCTCTGGATGAATCTCAGAGAAATTATAAAGACAAACGCATCCAGTTGGTCTCTGTGGGGATATTTCTCTTCTGAGTGGCTGTTTCAAAACAGATGTTTTTTTCAGAGGAATCACGAATGTTATTTATTTCGGTGACCACTCTGGTCTCTTTATCGAAAGCATATGCTTTTATTTTATCTGGCATCTTTTGGGATACCAATATGGTCTCTTTCTTATCAGTGGGAAGTGGGGAAGGACAGGTAGTCTTGGTTTTGCTTAATCTTACTGAAGTTTGTCTACTTAAATTTGGGTTCAATTCTCGTTGGAATTATTTCAAAATATGATTTTTTTCAACACATTTCATTTTTAATTTTCTTAACTTCTCAATCCATCTTCCTGTGAATTTCAACAATTACCATCCAATTAGTAGACTCTCTCTGTTTCCCTTTTTTTTTTGTTTTTTTTTTTTTTTGTGTGTGTGTGTGTGTGTGTGAGATCAACCTCTTGAGATCTCAGTGTCATATAGTCTTAAATACATAAATCTATCTAATACCAGCTACAAAAATTTAGAAATGTGCTTAGAGTGTAGAAAAAATTTCTATTTTGGGACTTTCTGCAGAAAGTTTTGCAATAGCCCTCCCTTAAGGAGTAATGGTCCTGATGCCAAAAAGCCTATCACATTTTGATAGAACTTTGAATGAATGAAAGCAACTAGAGTAATGTTGACTAGTTTTGCAAGTTTTGATTTAAAATTTTATTTGAGAAAGATTTCATATTCAGTTTGTATGCAATGCACTGAAAAATCAGGAAATAAGGGATTGTCAGTGGTCAAGAATTAATACAAGAGATATTGGAAGAATAGGGTTGATATGTTTAATGCAAGTCTAAACCATCATCATTTTTGTATGCATGAAGAAAATGTCAAGAATGTATCTTTTTTTTTAATTGAAGAATATTGTACTTTTTAAGTCTTCCTCTAATGCCAAGTAATTGTCAAATTTTTGTGTAATGTTTGCAATTTAAAAAAAAATACCAGAAACCTTCATTATTATTTTATTTTCCACTATTTTAGATTGTCCAACAATGTAAACAAATCTACCAAATCTATTTGTCAGGAAATAAACACCTCTTTTTATGTGTCTGTCTGTTTCAAATAGTAAATTTCTTTTGCTTACAAAAATATTTAATAATTGTTTCTTAGAACAACTTTTATTTAGTGACTGTATCTTGCTGTTGATTATCATAGGAAAAAAAAAAAATGAAGAATGTTGAGTGTCAATATTTGCCACTGTAATTATTATTGCATACTAATTAATTTTGCCTTTGATGTTTCAGGTAAGCAACAATAATTTGTATATAACAGACTGTGTGGAAAATGTCAGATCTATTCAGAACATACCTGCTTGTTTGAATAGCATAAAGGAACGTTGGCATTATTATCTTCGTATGGCTGAACATCTAAAGGATATTCAAGAAAGGTAATCCGTTGATGTTTTTTCTTAATTTTTCATTTGCTGTACACAGGACTGTACATAAGCTATTGTTCAATAGAAATACACATGCAGCTAATGTTCATTGTTACCCAGCCTATTGAGTTGGTCTACCAATAGGTTTTGTGTTATTTCAATTAATATGCAAGGTTTTCTACCATTGTGTTCAAATGGCTCAACAATATTTAATGAATTCAAGCAACATTTCTCAATCAAATTTTGTGTGAAAATCTGTTCAGAAGACCCTTGGAATGTTTTGTCAGGCTCTTTTCAGCTGAAAGGATATTTATCAAAGGTTTTTGAGTGGCACACATTTTTCAAGGCTTGTTGAATGTGAAGAGATGACAAAATGCCAGAAAGTGAGTTAGGGACATTTGTGAAGTTATCCCTGAAAACTACCACTGAAAAATGATTGAAATCAATTATAGATTGTACCAGGATAGACTACCTTGTATTTTGTTTCTATTATTAAGAATAATCTAAGTCTGTATCTTTAAGAGAAAGCAGAAATTATATGTCTCATTTTACTCCAAGAAAAGTGGTAAAGTCACTAAAAACACAATGGATTACTGAAGAAGAAAGACAATAAAGTGAAGACATTACTGAGGAGAAAAGGACAATAAAAAGAAAAGGAGACAGAAGATGACGATTGATGTTTCCATTTAAATTTTTGTAGAATGTACTTGATGGGAAAGCAAGAAGCAAGTTCCATAGGCCAGAGAAGAAACCATTAGAATAGTTAGATTTTGCAATTTCAACACACACACAGGTGCTAAAAAGTTCTTGATCTGTTTCATTTCCCAGACAATCTGAATATTTATTTAGGAAGCAAGCATTGAATCAGTAATTTTTTTAGTATGCCATTATATATATGGTGTAATAGGAAAATTGTCCAATTGTTAGATTAAGCTTTGAACTGTTGTATCTTAGAAATGATTAAAACTATTTCACTGGAATTCTCCCAAGTTTTTATAACACTATTGGACTCTTTGAACAATAAGAATGTATTTAGCTCGAAGTTGAAATGATGATCTCTCTTACTGTTGTGTAACCTCCCGATCCATTTTTCCTCACTACTGTTCCATCTTTTTTTAAACTCATTCATTGTTCTCTTGATGGTTCTTGAATGGACTTTGAAGATGGAAGCCAGAGTATGAATGTTGGTACCATTACTGAAGGCCTGAATGATCTTTTTCCTCTCACCATTGCTCAGTTAGGAAGATATGTGGGGCTGACACAAAATGATTTTAGCCTGTTCTCTTTTTAGCTGAATAATTCTAAGAGTTTTTCATTGATTCTTAGGACAAATGGTCTCAAGATGGTAAATGTCTTATCTGAAAAGCTGGAAAAAAGAAACATGGTTTTTTAGATATTTTGTGGGAAGGATAATTATCCCATGCTGTTATGTGATTTGGATAATTTTGCTGTTACACCAAGTATATATTTCGTGTGTGAAGACATTTAAATCACTTTCTGATACAACTAAAGTAAAATGAATAAGAATTGATCAAATATAGATTTATGGCTTCTTTAAGATTTTTTGGTTATTAAAAAAAAAAGAAAAAAATGGTAATATATTTTCTCCTGATTTCAAAGAAATATGAATAAATTTTTAGTTTAAGGGAGTATTATCTTCATTACTTGAAATATAAGAATTTAACTCATGTTTAGGTTTGGTTACATTATGTTGAAACATCAGTTCCCATTTGATCACTGAAGTTAAGCAACATTGAGCCTGGTCAGTTCATAGACTGCTTTGGGAATACCAGGTGCTGTAAGCTTGGATGTGTGAGTGGTGTAATGGATAATGGCTCAAAATTGTTAATCAGATCAGAGTTCCAGTTAGGTTTGTTGTATTCACTTATGCACAAATACTACCCTAGGGAAAGGTATGAATGTACCATTACTAAGACTTGTATCAGTAAATCATTATTCTCAAAGATTGATAAGATGTAGAAAAGGAATTAAATTTCTTGTTTAAATTATGATATGACCCTTTCTTGATTATTAACCAAATCACCATGAATTTATTAAAAAGAAAGAGCTTCCACTTCAGTTAAATATAAGTAAAATAAATGGATAACTAATTTTCAGTCATTTTTTTTTTTTTTTTTAATTAAAATTAAAAAAAAATGTGAAAAGCCTCTTGTTTTTTAATTTAAATCCAACTGAAAAATGATGCCAGTTTTTTTCTTGCAAATTTAAAGTTTTCCTTTGTATTTGTTTATTTCTTGCTCAGGTTGCCAGTTGATTGGATCCAACAAGAAAATAAACTTCGGGTGGTTGTGGGTAAAAATGCCAATATTATCTGCACTTTGCAACTACCTTCTGCTTACCAGAGTTGGGTCTCACTTTTGAATGTCAAAGGTGGTGATAGTCAAATTAAAATTGATCTCCTCAAGGTAAATTATATTTGCCTCTTCAGTTTTTTGTTTTTCGTTATAGTTTGTATTTAATGCAAGATTTTATGATCTATAAAAATTAGTTAATTAATAAAAGATATAAAAGTAATGCAGGCAGCAACATGCAATTCCTTTGATAAAAGTTTCAGTATTTGTAAAAATCAAGTAAATTTTACCCTTTGTGTATAATGTGTAGAGACTTTTATTTTTAATGAAATTTATCTTTGAAGTTTTATCATCAAAATGATTTTGGATCATATATTTTCACTGTTTTGTTGTGTTGACTTTCTTCATTTTTTCTCCCCTCTCATTTTAGCCCTCCAATCCAAAAGCTTCACTCCAAGAATGGATACAATATCTTGAAGAAAAATTCAGTTAAACATTTGTTATTGGCAAATAAAAAAAAAAATTACTTGATTCTTCTGTCATTTCAGTTTCAAAGAGTTTTATTATTTGCATTGCCACCACATAATGGGACACAGTTAAAACTGTAATCAATGATAATTTTAACTGATTGAAAGTTAAAAATCTTTATCCCTCATCATTGATTATCAAATACTTTTTAGTGTTTCTAAAGGTTCTTGGCCCAACCAAGATTCCCTTACCCTAAAAGTACCATGTATCTCGGTACCTCTGCTTTTTCATCGTAAACAGCATAGCATAATGAAAAAGCCACAAACTTAATAAAAATAAAGTTTTATCATCAAAATGTTTGTTATTATTAACATGAAAGACCAAAGTATTTTTTAATTATTTTATTAATTTTTCTAACACATTTGAAAAATCTGTTTTTTTTTAAGAAAATTTTTGTAAAAAAAATTTAATACTTTTTTGTTACCCCCACTTACTTAATTTCATGAAATTTCACATAAAACCTTTCTATTTCTTGAAATGTTTTTTGGTTAAAAGTAGGAGTCCTTGGAGATTGTAAATCATGTACATTTCTTGAGCTATTCTAACTGAAAATCTGCTCTAAATTGAAAAACTATGACATTATTTAATTAGAAAAGCTTTTAATTGCGTTTGTATATAAGTTGTATCAAGGACAGTATTGTCTGAAGAAATATAATTTTTACAAGAATTTTTTTTTTTTTTTTTTAATTATAATAATTTATAATAGTTTAAAATTGTGTAAAATTCTGTATTAGGCTATTTCCTGGATGTGATATAGTAATTAAGTGCAAACAATTTACAAATCAAAAATTGAAAAGATAATCAACTTAGTTGAGCTATTCTATTTTTAAAATAATTTTTTTATTTTGTTTTTTTTTTTTTTTTTTTTTACCTAATACATTCCTTATTTTCATGTATGGTAGACTGAAATTGCTATTATTATGATCTAAAAGCTTTGTCCCTTTATTAGGTCTTTTCAGTGACGTTTCAAAAGGTTTTCAAAATTTCCATTCAGCTTTAAAAGTTTAAAGCTTAAACTAAGTTTTACTTTTATCAATTACTATTTCGCTAAATATTTTTATTTTATGTATTTACGTTAGGGTAGGACTTACTTCAATTGAGTAATCATGGTATTTCATTTGTTATTAAATTATAAAATTAATTGAAGAAAATTTGATAGCATTTTAAATTTTTTTATCTTTGCATCTTAGAATAGAAGTCAATAAAATATTAAATAATTGCAGAAAATATGTTCATTTGTAAAAATTATTAGGTAGTTAAAAACTAAAAATTTCTGATATTGGGTCATCCATAGTAGCTGTCATCGCTTTGTCAATCAGCAGTCCATCCATCAAACATTGGATCAGATGAACAGGACCAATTATTAATAATTGGTTGTATATTATTTTTTTATACTAATATTTATTTCAAATCAAATTCATTTAACTTTAGTGTCAGAAATATATATTTATTTTTTGAAAGAATTTTAAAATAAGAAAATTTCTTTACAAATTTCTTAAAAAAATTGAAATTAAATTTGACATTTCAATCTATATAATTTCTATTTTTTACTTACTAAGCTTTCAATTAAAACTGAAATGAAATCTTCAAGAAAGATTTCATTTTTAAAATTTAATATGCCAAAAAAGTGGATATAAGAAAAAGGTCAAATCATTTTTCAAATTCTTTTTTTTTCTTTTACATTTTATTATATCTGAATGTTAACGATCTATAGTAATAAGGATGGGCTAAATTTAACAGACCAGTTCACAAATAAAATTAAACTTGGTTTGGTTCTGATTGTTCAATAAAAGAACTCGTTTACAAACTATATTAGACTAGTTATGCAAAGGTGTTAAATCCTTTTTTTCTAAAGGAGTGTGGGGAGGAATGTTAATGAGGTTAATTTGTATTGGTATAATGGATTTTTCAACAAAAAAAAAAAAAAACACACATGCAGTCATTTTGAACTAAATCAAGAGCCAAATCTGTCAGAGTATAACTTTCATATCTGTAGTGTGTCTCAAAAACAGTGATGCATAGTTTTTTGCATGTTGAAAAGATTTCAAGATTTGAACCATTACAAGGGCAGCCCCTTCAGCACAAAGTTGATCCCAGGAATGTCAAGAGATTATTGAATATCTCAAGTGATCAATGATGAGAGCATGTACTAAATGTGCTATTAAATGGGGGGGGGATAACATCTTCATCATTAGCATTCAGGAACTGGAAGAGAGATTGTTACAATAAGAAAGAAAAGGTTCAAATAATCAAATCTGACCCCTTAGCCTTAGTGGGGGATTCAGTAGAGTTAAATAGCTGCCAACTCCCTTTCCCCAAAGCAGATAGATTGCTTATAAAACTGAAAACATACATAATGATTAAATTAGGAAAATTTCAAAGCCCAAGGGATAAAAGACAATCAGTTTAATACCTTTTTTTATTTTTAGGCTGACAAAAAAAAAATTTTACAACATTGATAAATAGAATAATATCAATGTTATGTAAAATAGTAGGATTAACCTAAGAAAGGAGGCACGGTGGAGTAATGGATAGTGGCTTAGATTGAAAAATCGGCGAGCCGAGTTCGAATTCCAGTTGAATCCATTACATTCACTTATGTGCTAATATCCTTGGGAAAGGTGTGAATCCTCTTCTTCTCCCTCCAGCTATGGGTAATTCTATAGCCTTGGATGGCAACTGGTCTAGGAGAAGGAAAAAACTCTGAATTCAAAACCTGCGGAGGGTCGTTTGGGGACCTTCAAAAAGTGTGGATGGTCCTGCACGAAACCTTCACCACTATAATCAAATCTCATGTGCTATACATGTGGGTTTGGGGACCGCTTGTGAATTCCAAATTCCCATGAAACTCCAATATTGGAGCCGGCTCAACCCACCTCAGGTGAATGCCGTTACAGGTACAGGTAGGTAACCTAAGAAACAACACCTGAGCATTATGCTCAAGTGTTGTTTCTTAGTTTAATCTTACCATTTATCTTTGATAAATATTTATCAATCAATGTATATCTGTGCATGTAATTATTAGAAGTAAAAATGAAACTTTGATAAGTAGTAATCATTTATCAGGACTCTGAACAAGAACAAGTGTATTGATCCTAGAAAAGACATTTTATAAACACACATTTATACACACTAATATTCAAATTCTGCAGCTACAACTGTCCATCTTTAGAACAATAAAAAAGCCAAACAATCATCTTATGTTTGTTATTTTAACTATAATCTTGTAAGCTCTTCACAATAACTAAATTATATTGTTTATTTGATAAAATAAAGTAAAATATCATTAATAATGTAAATTGTTAAAAAAAAAAAAAAAAAAAACAAACTTTCTCACTCTTTGTCTTTTTACTCTTTCACACAATAGACTGTGTGTGTCTGCATACACGAGGAAATCTTCATTTGTGTCTGTCAAACTTTTAGTAAAGCATTTCACCATTTGGGGTATTAATGACTGCAGTACCCCAAGATGATACAGCATTGCTTATGTGATTACTAACAGCATCTTCATGATATGGATGATCCTTGTTCAGTAGCACTTGCATATAACGTTTCAGAAACGCTCTTCTCAATGTATAGCCAGTTGTGAAACCGCTCTTAGAGAACACTGGCTTTCTTCTGCTTTGTTTGGTTCTTGTTTGGTTAATATTGATGTCAGAAGTATGGCCAGAAAGCACAAAGTCCATGTCAGCCTGAGAACAAATGTCAGATGAGAAACTCGGCTCACTGTCTATGGAAGCATCATAGTCTTCGTCGTCATCATCTGTATCGATATTATAATCTGGAAGTGGATAATCCAGATAGGGTTCATTCTCAATATTACTCACCCGTTGCATCTCCATTGTCCGACGGATGACTTCTCTGATCTCATCGGCTTCGGACATGCTCCGACTGCATGAGACGTCTGTGATGGCAATGACGTGAAGAATGGTACCCCAACGGTGGATTATCATGCCAAAAAACTGAAAGGTCATTATAAGAGCAAAAAAAATCAGAAAAATCATGCCGAGCGGTTCAAAAGTCAGTGGTGGACTTGTTGGATCAAGACGAGGGATCTTGAAAAATAATTTCTCCTTCAGTTCATCCTGCATAATATTAAGTTGCATGGACATGGCTATCCACAAAGTGCTGGTCATGAAAAAGGCAAAGACAATACTGTTTCGCATTTCTTTTAGGTCCGATTGCACCCGTTCTTCTTGCTGGGAATCTTCCTTCAAGGGATAAAGATATTTTTCCAAAATTTGTTTCCAGAAGTTTTCTTCACGTTTATCCAACATCCTAATTGGTCCATTTCCAATTGACTTAAACCTGAGCCAGCTGAATGATTGCCCAGCCTTGTAGCAAATTTCATCAGAATACACAGTTTCTGTGTTGAACGGGCCTAGTTTTCTGCTGACAGAGTCTGATTTATTTACATTGTTATCCGATAATGTACTCTCAGTCTGCACAAATTCTTTGTTGGTCTGCGTTGTTACAGAGTTGAGTTTGTTTGCTTTGCCCTCTGAATTTCTTGACCGGCACATCTCAACTAAAACTGCCTCCAGAAGTTCATCGGTCCTGGACCCGCGGTTTGAAGATGACTCTGTTAGGAACTTCAGCTGTCGAAACATTTCTGACATTTCTTTGAAGATGACATCAATTCCAAACCAAGAAAGGATGCCTTTTTTCTTGGCTTTTTTCATTCGTTTTTCCTCTTGAATTTTCCGCTCTTCCTCTTGTTGCTTTTTAGTCTTTCTTTTTGGAATCTCCCGTGTCCCCCATGTAACCACATTCAGATTGCAAAGGTAATATATGGTGAGAAGGAGATAACCAGAAGGGATGCAGATGAAATAAAGGGCACCTGGAATGATGCAGAGAACCTCTTCTGGGTGTAAAACGGCTGCTGTAAAGAAAATGACACCCAGCATGATAAGGAAGACAACATTGGGACTAGTTAGAGAGCCATCAAATGCATTCATTAGGGTACCAACTACCACAACCATCATGACAATGGCATAAATAGCACTCATGTTAGCCGCAATCATCACTTGAGTGGATGAACTGGACACTAGGCAGATGATTATGTAGAATATTGCTGGAACTATGGCCATGGAATAAGACTTGAAAATGTTGATTTTGAAGACCACATTAAAAGATCCAGCCATCATTAAAAGCACAGTGGCTGGACCAAGAATGGTTGATATCAAAAGGAACATCTACAAATGAAAAAAAAATAAATAAATAAATAAAATAAAATGTTGAATGAGAATTTTTTTTCCTATTTACATATACATTCACTTGTGTCACATTTGCTAAAAAAATTTGCATGTGTCATAGTTTACAAAGCATTGATTAGTCTCTGGCTTTTCAGGATAATAAAAAGGGATAAACTATTATCCTAAGCTATTATAGAGCTGAAAAAAAAACTCGACAAGAGGAAGAAAGGAAAACTCGACAAGAGGAAGAAAGGAAAACTCTCAAGAGGAAGAAAGGAAAACAAGAGGAAGAAAGGAAAAAACTCGACAAGAGGAAGAAAGGAAAACTCGACAAGAGGAAGAAAGGAAAAACTCACAAGAGGAAGAAAGGAAAACTGAAGAAAAAAGGAAAACCGACAAGAGGAAGAAAGGAAAACTCGAGGAAGAAAGGAAGAAAGAAAGGAAAACTCGACAAGAGGAAGAAAGGAAAACTCGACAAGAGGAAGAAAGGAAAACTCGACAAGAGGAAGAAAGGAAAACTCGACAAGAGGAAGAAAGGAAAACTCGACAAGAGGAAGAAAGGAAAACTCGACAAGAGGAAGAAAGGAAAACTCGACAAGAGGAAGAAAGGAAAACTCGACAAGAGGAAGAAGAAAAAAAGTGAAAACTGCTAAATAAGGCTCAACATGATTTTCTCTATTTCTTTAGGTTTAGCTTAAAAACATTAGCTACAATGCTTTAACTGCTAAGAATATATATTATGCCTCACTAATTAATGGTAGAAAAACACTGAAATCAGTTGCCCAACAAAATATCATTTCATCAAAGACCAAACAGTCAGTCCTGGTTCACTCCTGAATACGCTGCAGCCATAGCTGACCAGAACCACTACTTCAAAATCTCTGACAAGGAGCAGTGTAATCTGACTGACTTCTTTCAGAACCATCAGTAATCACTGTAAGAGAGTTCTGGAAAATACAAAGTGCAGCTAATTGCAAGCTGTTCAGACCAAAGTTGAAAAGAAACAAATTGGATCTTGCAAATTCTGGAAGATCACCAGTCAAATTATGAGCAGAAGAAAAGCATCTGTGACCACAATTATAAATGACCCTGAGGTCATATCCTCCTTGACAGACAAGGCAAAGCTCTTCACTCTCAATCTTTGCCTCAAACTCAACATTAGATGACAAAGTAATCTCACTGAGTATAATCTCAATAATTTGCTCATTTCAGTAAGAGAAGTCTCTAGACTTCTCAAAAACCTCGCCCCCACCCCACCAAAAAAGTCACTGGCCCAGACAAACTTCCAATAGTCATCCTTAAAAATATCAACCCAGAACTATTTCCTATCCTAGCAAAGTTATTTAACCATTGATTGAACAAGAAATCTTTCTCAAGCCTGTGGATTGTTTGCAAGTGTATGTCTGGTCTTCAAGAACGTGGGTGACCAATCCTCCCACTACCAGTATAGGCCCATTAGTCTCCTCAGTAGGCTTTTTGAGGACTTTATCAACAAGGAGGATGTGGAGCACCTGGATAAAAACAAGCTCTTGTGCAACAAGCAGAATGGTTTTTGATCAACCTGATCCACTGCTGACAACCTAACCACCATTTTACACACACACAATTAGTCTAGCCCTTGATGACACTCACTCACACTGCAATGACCATAGCATTAGATATCTCAAAGGCCTTTAACAAGTTGTGGCCCAAACGTTTACTACACAAGCTCTCCAGCTATGGAATCACTGGAACGGTTTTCTCTATTATTAAATCCTTCCTAACAGATAGATCCCTGAATGTCGTTATTAATGGCCTGTTCACTGAGGCCCTTGTAGTCAACAGAGACATTCCCCAGGGGGTCACTTAGACTAACTCTCTGATTTACATAAATGATCAAGCTAAGAATATATCCAATCATTTGTAAATGTCTATGTTGATGATATAATATATAGCCACACCTCTAAAACTCTTTGTGATTAGAGATTGGCAACTGATCACTCTTTCAATCTAACACTAACTTCCCAGTGGAGAAAGACTGGATGATTACATTCAATGACTCTAAACACAAACTGGTTACATTCCTTCACTGCTGATCAGAGCCTGAACTACCACCAGTCACAGTCAATGCCTTGAGAGGATATTGGGCCTCAAACTCACACCTGACCTCAAGTAGAATTCCTATATATGATCCATTGCTAAAGATACAGGTAAAATAATCAGCTCCCACTCTAGTAAGTACCTGACTCCTCATGCTATCCTCTACCTTTATAAAAGGTCAGATCAGGCTGAAAATGGAGTACTGTTGCTATATTTGGCCAGGAGCTGCCTAGAACTCACTTTCCAGTCTTGATAGAATTCAAAAGCATCTCAGAGTCGTCGTTAGAGAAGAATTATTTTCCAGCCTCCAACTTATCTCTCACAGGCGGGATGTGGCAAGTCTCTTACTGCTCTATTGCTATTACCATGGAAAGTGCTCTGACAAACTACATTCTTTGATTCTGCCAGCTCTAACTTTCACGGCTAGGACTTGTCATGCCACTTACATAGTAGCAAACCACCCACATCCCATCAGCGATAAGTTCCATTCAAACAGCTTCTTCCTATGAACCACTGCTCTGTGAGACAGACTCCCTAGAGGATGTTTCCCCAATCACTACAATCTTAACCTCTTCAAGTCTAGAATTAACTGTTATCTTCCCCCTCTTATCTATATAAACTAACACTTAATATAACCCTCTACCTCAAGAGGCCCTTACTGTAAAAAAATAAAAATAAATAGTTTTCCTATTCAGAGCATACTTTAGAAACAAAAATATTTTGGCACACTTTCTAGCTTACAACAAATACTTTATTCAATTATGTACAAATAATTTAAGGATAGTTATCAATGAGAAACAAGTGACTGATTTTTCTTAGGAACATTTAATTGATAAATTGAAATGTTAAAAACCATATTCATCTTTGTAATTAGAATTTGAAATCTACATATATATAACTAAAGAAATAATAGATTTGACAGCAAGTCAATAGTGTAAGCATATACATTGGAATACTAGAAATCACAGAATTAAAGACTTAAAAATCAGGGAGATTTTTTTAAATGCAACTTGATAGACATTGTATGCAATTTTTAATATATATAGTTTTTTTTTTTTTTAAAGATTGCAAATTGTTTAAAAATAAATGCTAAATGTTACACACACGTATACGTGTGTTCTAAGATTAGTAAAATTTGAATAAAATCTCTTGAATTTGCTTCACGAGTCATGTCAATGAAAAATGATTCTAGCAATTGTCCCAGCAGAATAAAATAGGTTTCATGAATGAGCGCTGAAATTTCCTTGTAGCTTTAAATATACAGTGCCACTCTTACCAAAGCTTTCCACCAACTGCCCAAAGATTATGACACATTTATTCTTGATCTCATTGTGCACCAGAAGCCAGGCAAGGGACTACTGCAAGCTCAGAAGGTAACAAAATGAAAGACAAAATCCATGTTGAGAAATAAGAACACAATCCCCATTTATTATATGTAGAGCTTTTATCCAGGCTTTCACCTGGGTGGGTAGTTTGGTGATACTTGCGGCAACTCCTTGCCCATTTAATACAAATGTGTGGCATAGGAACCACACAAGTTCAGTCTCCTGCTAAGAGCGAGACAGAACTGAGCTTCCGGTCCCAAGCATGAGTTAATATAGACCAAACCTGGAAATAATGTCCACTTTGTTGTTTGGTCTTCAAAACCCCCTCATCCTCTCCTTTACTTCTCCATTCTCCTGTGTGAATATCACTTAGAAGATATAAAACAGAAACACTTAAGATTGAAATAAAACCTCATCTCCCTTTTTCTGTGTGGACATCTATAGTATCACATAGCGACAGTTGGCAAAACTTTTGAGAGAAATGGGCTTACGGTCATCGCATGTTGAAAGACCAGTTCTCCTACAATCACTGAAGTAATGTCGATCCTGATCTAGATGAACGACTGCTTGGGAATACCAGATGCTGTAAGCTTAGATGTAATGGATAATGGCTCAAAATTGTTAATTGGACAGACAAGTTCCAATTGGGTTTGTTATATTCATTTACATGCAAATACCCTTGGGAAAGGTATGTATCCACCTCTTCTCCCTCCAGCTATGGGTTAATTAGTATGATTTTTTTATCACTAATCCATTATTATTTAAAAATGTAAAAATCTAAAAAAAATATTTTCTAGCTTTAAATAACCTGCTAAGGGGTGGTAATCCATAGAAAATGAAAACTATTTGGTAAGCAAGGAAAGTGAATATCAATCATTTTATATAAAATTGAAAAAAAAAAAATTATTTTAACTGAATTATGTTTCAATATCAGTATTATTCAGTTGGCAAAGCTCCATTGTAATCAATCAAAATTTTATTAGTAATCTGGGAAGTTCAACACTAAAGAATGTTAAAAAACATTAATCACTTTTTTCTTTTCTTAAATCATTTCATTCCAAGCTAGGCAATAATGCCACTAAGACAATGGTTTACTGGAAGAGAATGAGAAGACTTCATAGAAGAAAAAGTACAATAAAAGAAAAGGATTCAGGAAGACAGAAAATACTATTTGGCATTGTGTTTAATATTTTTAAGATCATAGGTGACGGGAAAGCAAGAAACTGGAAGAAAGTTACACAGGCAAAAAGTGCAAGAAAAACTTTTAAGAAAGAATTTACAGTTACATCTAGCTATTTCAACAGTAAAACCATGAGACCTAATTGCCAATCTAGTCATGCTTAAAATTATGCAGTCAAGGTACCAAGGAGGCGAGCTCATTAAAACAACTACCATTGAAATATTTACAGAAAAGACAGGGAAGCCTGATGACAGTGTTGGGAAAGTGAAGTAGAGATGCCAGGCCGGGACCAATAATATTACAGACTCTCTGGATTTTGTCAAGAATCTCAAGATATATTATGGACACATTCATTCACCACATGAGATAAAATATAACAAATTCTTTTTTATGGTGACACTTAGATATATACATTTTTATCGGACAAAATTTAAGAAAAATGTTTGGCAAAATATCTTGTGAATTATTCCAGGAAAATCATTACTTTCATTACCATCAAGAAATGCTCACTATCCAATTCACTTCCAGAGTAAGAATCCCAAAAGAAAAGGAATTTTACCAATCATTGTTTTCACCATATTCATCATCATCTAGAAATCATTCAGATTCACTTCCAGAGTAAGAAGACCTAGAATGAAGAATCCCCCCACATGATAAATTGCACTGGGAATAGTATAATCCAAGGGCAGTAACTATGGCAGCAAGGTGAGTTAGGACTTTTGCTACAGACAGACAATGAAAACTCCAAATTCCTCTTACCTGATAGAGCATGTACAGAGTGCTAATGTTGTCATTAACCATCACAGTCGTCTTCCAGCTGCCAAGCAAATCGACAATGTTTGCTAACGTTGATGGTCCCCATCGGCGTCTCTGGTTGAAGAACTCGGAAAATGTCTCTGGAGCATGAGTCATTGCATCAGCAGCGGCGCAGTAATCAATTCTGTAGCCTTGTTGCAGTATCAGAGTGCTCAGCCAACGGTCTTCTCCTGAAAGACAATTTATTTTGAATTGGGAACAATTTGGCTGAAAAGTTGAAGGTGAAACCCCTCTGTTGATACAAAAAAAGAAAAAAAAGTGATTGAGTTTGACAAAATAGTCCAGAGAAGGAAACCAGAGTTATATTGAATATGTAGAGATCATGTGTAAATTGAAAGATATAAGCATGGGTTTTCATGCCTTTTAAACACAAGAAACCATGAAGATGCTAATGAAGAACAAATTGACTCTTGAAGATGTAATTTTCCAAACATTTTGTTCTTAAATTTCTATTAAGAACAATCCATACTTTTTTTTCGTTGAAGCAGGCCTGTGACTAATCTCACACAAAGCAAGGTAGGTCCTGCATTACAAAGGATTTGTCATAATGATTTGTAGGCAAGGGATTAAAAGGTTGGATACTTTTCTTGATGCTCAACTTAAACGCTCATAGTCATCAAAATACGCTGTTTTATCAAGACACTATCTCTCTCTGAGGGTTGTCATTAGACATTCAAGACCCCATCTTCACCTATATAAATGTTGACCATTGGCTCCTATAAGAAGCTCATCCACCATTTAAGAGGTTTTGTTTTCCATCCCGTGAAGGTGACATGTTACCATCCTCAACACCAGAAAAGCTGGTTTAACACCAACCACCCGTCCATGCTTCAGGTTGTATTGAGTTACATGTTACCGGTAGCAGGGCAAAGGCTGACCTGACAACAATTCTTTTTATGACCTTCCAAAATTTTTAAACTACTTCTTAATGATGCCTGTTTAGTAGTGTGCATATTGACACAGAAAATGGTACTGGTGAGTTGAGTTCAATTTCCAGCTGGAGTTGTTGTATTCACTTTTGCATAAATGCCCTTGGGAAAGGTATGATGCAAATTTCTTTTCTTCCCTTCTATGGGTTAAATAACAAGATGAACTAAGCTCTCTAGTCATAGTTGGTAACCAGTCTAGAAGTATAACTGAATTCAAAACCAACTTGTTGACTGATTGTCAAGATGAAGAATGAATTCAATACAATTCATAAATTGGTTTTCATCTACTTCTTTGCCAACCTTATGTTTCTCTTTGTAATGTTGACTTAAAGGTGGTAGCTTAGTTGTGGTACAAGGCTGAATGTAGAAGCATCCAGTGAATATCAAACTCACTACTCTGTAATTAATCTAGGGAGACAAGCTCGCTAATCATTACACCACAGGAGAGTACCCCAAATATCAATTTACTAAACGTAGCACAAGGCCAAAAGTAGGGAGCACCTAGTGAGGATCGGACTCACTACTCAGTTGTAATTGATCTAGCAAGACAACCTCGCTAATCATTATACCACATTGGTACTTTGGCTGATGAGATATGAACAACATCACAGATTTTTACAAATTTTTTATTGTGATCTGTTCAATTTTTTGCAATTTCTGTCATTGTTTCATCAGTCAACAACTTTGTCATGATGCATAAAATATTGTAATTATATATATATATATATATATATATATATATATATATAAAATTTTAAGGAATCAGCACATATGCGAGGCCACAAGAATCTCCTGAGCCGACCAAACATAGAAATGAATAAAATATGAGAACCAGTAATAAGGAGTGCTAGAGAAAAGCAATGAATAACAACAAAAAATTGCAATATAAGCTGTGGTAAAAAATATGCAATAACAACAACAGGAAAATTGCAATATGATCACTGGTTAAAAAAAAAAAAAAAAAAAATGAATGTTGGGACATTAGATTTATAAGTCCCAAATTCATACACAGATGTCCTAAAGAATACATGACTCAGTGGATAAAGGTATTGGTTAGATTCAGTGACTAGACACAATGAGTTGCGAATTCAATACCTGAAACTAGCCAGAGCGTACAACAGCCAAAACATTGTGAATATGGCCATGAGAATAACATGCTTTCAAGAAAAATTTAGACGAGAGAATGTAGATTCCATAAAGAGAAAATAGAACTTTGCTGGACCAGTAAAAGGTCTGTTGCCAAGCAGTCTCAAGGGTGGTTTCTCCTACAAAAGGGGGATGCAGGTTTAAAGCCTACTGGAGAAAACATTTTCTTTATTAAGATTTCTTTAATACACAGGCCATTAAAGTAATACAAGCTGTTTAAAAGAAAAGTAAAAATGGAGTATCTATTTTCAATATGAGTATCCTCTATAATAACATCTGTAGTCATATAAATGTCAGGTTAAAAAAAAATTGAGAAGTATAAACGTCCAATTGCTGATATCCCCTGACCATTGGACAGATGGCTCCGTCTACGAAACTCTAGAGTCGGGATGCTGAAGGTATTATCAAGCAGCTAAGTGACAACCTTTTATTTGTATTAATTCTCTCTCTCTCTCACACACACAAAAGTAGGTATACAGTAATGAAAAATGTATTGAATTGTTTATACAAACAAACGTTCAAACTGATTACCTGCAAAACTTTTATTATTACTATTATTTATTAAAAAAAATAAAAAAATAATAAAAAATTTAATTAAATGAATCCAAGAACCACTATTATAATACTGGTAACAGTAGTATAATATTTACTGTATACCTACTTTTGCAGTATATATAGGATTAATAAAAATTTGTTAATTCAACTCTAGAGAATCTGATGAACTTTTTGTTATTCTTTCATTTCAGTTGTCAAGTCTCAGTGAGAAATATATATATATATATATATATATATATATATATATATATATATTATATAAGCTAAGGTAGATGGAATATGATGAACAACCCTCAAAATGTATAATAAATTCTTTCATTACCAAATAAATATTTCTAATCAAAGACTTTGTAGAAGCAAAAGATTCACCTGGTATATTTGTTATACATCTTGAAAATTTTTACCGGAATTAGTTGGTTGATTCTAATTTCATTATGAAAAACTGATTTGTAGAATAAAATGTGACAGTTTATTTACTGCTTAAACTAGATGCTTAAATCGTTAAAAAAGAAAAAAAGAATCGATTTCTAATCACTATTGGACATGCAACAACCACACCTATAGAAAAAAAAGAAGGTTGTTTTACACAATGTTTAATTCCGCGACCCCCAGGCACTTACCCTGGTCACACTGCACATATTGGGCAGCCTCAGTAGCACGAGTTGTATACATTTTACATACGTTGTCATCCATCAAAGCAGATCCACGAAATAGGCTGAAACAACCTGGAGCACACAAGACACACCCAAAAACATGTTCAGTTGCCTTTTGTAGCCAATGGCCGATAGCATACTCAAATTGCTGGTACCACAGCATTGGTCCTAACAAAACAAAGAAATCATATTGAAGCAGATGAAATAATAAAACCAACAGACTTTGAATGCTTTATTACTGCTATGTCAAGAGATACTATATTTTATAAAATATATTAAACATGTTGGGAATTTCTGCAGACATCAAGCATTGATTTTGTTTTTTTCCCACTAGTAGGGCTTGTGCTACTGCTCCTACAACATTAAGCTCTTTCATTTGTTAATGAATTGACTGATTGATTTTACATCTCAACTCAGCCTATCAAAAGGAAGTATAGCAGAATTGAAAAATCATCTTAAAAATAAAAAAGAATTTTGACTATTTTATCTCGGTCAACAGAGCTAATTGTTTTCTCATTTACTCGAGTAAGGTTCTTAAATAACAGTCACCTTGAGACTGTCATATGGATGTCACACATAGCATCAAACTCATTCAAATAACATCCGAACTGTCAAGTGGATAAAAACGCTACTCCCAGATCAATGTCTATAAATGACTTCCTGAGAGTAAAGGCTTACGGCCATATCACGTTGAAACACCGGTCCTCGTCCATTCACCGAACTTAAGCGACGTCAAGCCTAAATGAAGTACCTAGATGAGTGTGAGCCTAGGAATACCAGGTACTGTAAACTTGAATGTACGGGTAAAGTAATGAATAAGGGCTTTGAATTAGAAATTGGAAAGCCGCGCTCCAATTCCAATTGGGGTCGTTATTTTTAATTACGTACTAATACCCTTGGGGAAAGTATGAATTCACCTCTTCTACCCCAAGTTACGTTGGTTGATTTAATGTTGAATTTTGTAGCTAATGAGGATTGACGTCACAATTCCATAGTAATGGTTAACAAGATTAACCTCGTTAACCATTACCCACCACCGAGACGCTTGATAATAAATATTAAAGGGTACCTAAGCGGACACAATCTAATCAATATGTCCATCGAATAAAGGACGGTCACATGCTAAAGGCGAGTTGACTAAAGGCGAATACCCAGTAGGCCATTCTGAACTTCACTTGAAAGATGTCCGCAAAGCTGACTTGAAATTCATAATTGGGATTTGCGGGTTACTGCAGCAATTCATGACAGACCGAGAAGGTAAACGAGAAAATCAGGGACAAGTGTAAACATGTGATGACGGGTAGAGGATGACACAAGGTAAAAAAAGAAACCCCAAAAACAATAAGTAAAAAAATAATGTTCACACTCTGCACAGCAAGCATTGCCTGCAGACAAGAGTCATTTAAGAATCAGATTGTCAAGTAATTTTGCTCTCTGCGGGAACGATTCTAACCAACCAGAGTGCTGTCATCTTACAAGAAAGAATAATATTTACGAACTATTGATGGCAACTGTCTATATGCGGTGTCCCTTTAGGAAATGAGTAATCATGGCCCTCCACAATTTCCTGTCCTTTGTAGATCTTGTCTGTTCATTATCTTCCCTAATCCCTCTTCTGCTAATCATTTATTCATTAGGTAGGTTAGGCTTTCCTCTGTCCTCTTTATCTTCATTATGTTAGTGTCAGATTTTCTAAATCATCTTATCTTCATGTGCCCTAGAAATGTTAAGTATAAGTGTCCTTTTTGTTTCCATTGTCTGTAGAACTTCACCGTTGCTCACATGTTCAGTATTCTCAGCATACTTCTGTCAAATCACATTTCTGTTGCTTCAAGTCACTTGGCTGAGTGCTGTTATTGTATTATATTCATTTTCTTTTATTTTCATTCTAAATTTGTCCTGTATGGAAGTCAGTACTGGATAGTCTTCTCAAAGATGAAGAGACTTGAAGCAAAAGAAATGTGTTTCTACAGAAGGATGTTGAAGATATCATCAACCAAACATGTGAGCAACAACTAAGTTTTAGAGAGAAAAAAAAAGGAAACTTATCCTTAACAACAGGAAAAGACAGTTGAGGTTTCTAAGGAAAGAGGAATTGGAAAATCTGATACTCGAAAGCAAAGGAGACAGAAGAAAACAATGCATGATATACTTAGTGAGTTTGGATGGTGAAACAGGATTTAGGACAAATAACAATAAGACAACATTTATTAAGAGTTACAAGAAGAAAGTTGGTTGGTTGGGTTTTATGGCATATCAAACACTGTAGGTCATTTAATGCCATATTTATATATATATATATATATATATATATATATATATATATATATATAATACTATTAAACGTATAGCTGGCAACATTACTCCTTCAGAAACGTATAGTTGGCAACATTATTCCGATAACATTATCTGAGGCCTTGCTGTTGGACGTAGTTTATCGCCATACCCAGGACGCGGGTAAGATCTGGAAAAAACTAGGAGTTCACTATTTGCCCATAACTGGGACCCTAACAGGTGCTACCACCCTGGGCCAGGGTGGATCTGGGAACACCAGCAATTAAGAGGTGGTTCCACGCTCCTCAAAACCTCTTGATCAGAGGCCTTGCTGTTGGATGCAGTTTAACGTCATACTCAGGACGAGAGCAGAAAGTTGTGGTGAGCCATGATCGCTTACGTTCTGAGGGGACATGGCACATAAAGAAGACCACTGACACATGACTGGCAAGCTCAGATTGAATCGCTTTTCCCCAGACGTATCTTTTTTTAGACCGTCATCTAATACAATAAGAAATAGATTGGCTATAAACCCATCTCAAAACATTACACTCTTTGGTATGAGTTGATATTTCCACCTTTGTGGGTGATTTCAACCAGTAGGACATTCAGCCTTTGCTTCCTTCACCCCCGGCTTAAAGGAATACAAAATGGCATTCGAACGGTTGAAAATTCGCATGTTTTTTGTAAATCAGATTTACTCCAAGCAAGGCAGTAAAGACACAAGGGGTTACTGAGAATGAATTAGAAAGTAGAAACATTACTAAGGGGGGAGTGCAATAGAAGAGTAATCGGGAAGACAGTAAGATAAGAATTTAAATTTTTTGAACAAACTTTTTCACGATAGGTGATACCTGTCGATCATTTAAAAAAATTCCAGCATTGTTTTACTTTTTGCAAGCTCTGAAATTCTGAAACCTTTCTCTCCGTCAAATCAGACTTATGACTAATTTGAAAACTTCAAATGCATAACATGGTTATTAATTTGAGACTGACCTTTGGGGCGTTTCATACAAATGGCTATCATTTGTTTACATCTGTGCAGAACAAACAGGCTCTCATTATAATTGCACTGAAACATGTTGCCATCATTTTTTTTTTAATCAGTTCACCCCAATCAAGACCATAAGACCACTAGGACGCAAGAGGTTACCGAATGTTAGAGAATATGAGAAAAACTACAATTAAGGAGATAGGACAACAAATGCATAATTAAGAAGACAGAAGTTAGTGATTAACATTGATCTTCAACAATTATATGCAAAGTTAACTGGGAAGTAAGAAGCCGGAAGAGAGTTTCACAAGCCAGAAGCACGATAGAAGAAACTGTCAGGATAGAACTTACGGTTCTGTCTAGCCATTTCAACTGTAAATTGATGAGACCTTTCGGTCAATTTAGTACTGCGCTTAAATTTATAAAGTTTGGTTACCATAGCGGTAAGAATAATTACCATGAAAGTATTTATAGAAAAGGCACAGGGAAGCAACTTTACGGCAGTAGGAACAGGACTGAAGCCAAGATGTCATCTTAGGACAAACAACATTGCAGATTCTTTCGATTTTATCAAGAATTTCTAAACATATAGCAAAAGCATCAGACCAGATGTAGCAGTAATATTGAAAGCAAGGATGAATGGTAGATTTATAAATATATAAGATAAACATTTTTCCCGTCATAGTGAACCAACTTTCTTAGCTGCCGACTTAACAATCAATTCAATATACTCTTTCCACTTCATGGTAACTGAAAATGTTTGTCTTAGGTGTAAGGAGTCGCTCTCTTGCAGGTTAGCATCAGTTGTGCTGATGGAGGGTAAAAGTCTTCTCCCATTTAACAACAGATTGTAGGTCATTTTTTACATCAGTTGTCAATTTGACTTTATCAAACCGATCAGTTTTACTATTAAGACAGGAGTAAATAGTTGTGTCATCCGCATAGATACCAAGTTGACAAAAGATGATATCAGGAAGGTCATTTATGAAAATTAGAAACAATGTAAGTCTAAGGACAGAGTCCTGGGGAACACCTGTATTTATGCAAAAAGATCCAGAAGAGTGGCCATTCAAGACAACTTTCATTTCGCGATTCAATAAGAAAAACCAAATCAGTTCAAAGAGTTGTCCAGAAATACCATAACCTTTCAACTTATGAAGAAAAACTATGCCGAACCCTGTCAAATGTTTTCCAGATATCCAAAGATATCTGGAGTTTTACCATTTTTATCTAAAGCTTGAAGACCCTGCAATGTGAGATGCTTAACCGATTTAGAATTGATTAGAACCTCTAGAAAAAAAAAGGTAGAAGGCTAATAAGCCGATAGAAGAATCAGACGGTGCGCCTGAGTTCTTAAAGACTGCAACTACAAAACAGGATTTCCAACAAATAGAAAAGCAAGAAGCAGCAAGGCATTTATTATAGAGTCTAAAGAGAACAGGAAAAAGTTCAGGAGCATATTTCTTTAGCACTATTGGAGGGACACCATCAAGACCACATGCTTTGTGAGGGTCCAGTTTAGAAATGATACCAGAAACCATGGATGGAGTTATATGCATATCAATCAATAGTAACTCAATTGTAAGTCAAAGGTACTCCAGATAAATCAAGAGCAGAATTTAAGAATTTATTAGCAAATCATTCTCTTTTTTCAGCAGAAAATGTCAATACTTCAAATCTTAACATCTAAATTTAGCGAGGAAACATTGAAATTCTAATAGATATTTATTTTATACAAGAATAAATCTACC